GCCCTGACTCTAGAAGACATGCTGACCTAGGAGCATGACCTGACCCTAGAAGACATGACCTGACCTAGAAGACATGACCTGACCTAGAAGACATGACCTGACCCTAGAAGACATGACCTGATCCAAGACAACGTGACGTGACCCATCATGTCACAGGATATTGGCCTATAAACTGCCTCTTTATGTCTATGATAATAAGTAATACACAAGTAATTGCTATTGAAATTGATTCCTTCAGTCCTCAGCCCCAATCAGTCCGGCCTCCTCAAGCTCTTCAGCCACCCAGCCTCCTCTCAGCCCATTCAGCCCCACCTAGCTATAAAACCCACCCAGCCCCTCAGTCCCAACTCAGCCTCAGCCCCAACGCAGCTCAGCCAAGACTAAAGCCCACTCAGCCCCAACAGGGTACCTTAACCATTGGAAGTTGGACTCATTAAATAAGGTTAGATTAGGTTAGAGTAAGGTGGGTTAGGATTAGAGGGTAGGGTAGGTTAGGTTAGATTAGGTTGGGGTAGGATAGGGTAGGGTAGGTTAGGTTAGGTTAGGTTAGGTTAGGGTAGGTTAGGTTAGGTTAGGGTAGGGTACGTTAGGTTAGGTTAGGTTAGGTTAGGTTAGGGTAGGTTAGGTTAGGTTAGGTCAGCATTATGGTTGGAAAAATCAAGGTGAAAATAATGTGGGAGCTAATCTTTAAGTGATATAATAAAACCTACGGACGTCTCAAGGTTTCAGTAAGGGCAATATCTAGATAAGGGAGGCTAGACAGAGTGGCTTAATGCTTCGTTCTGTTACGGGATTTAGAAATGGCAAGTGTAATGGGATAAAGTTTATAAAAGTCTTGGAGAGAGAGAGAGAGAGAGAGAGAGTAAAGGGAGAGAGCAAGAGAGAAAGATCACCAGTCGGTCGAACCCTTAAAAGCCATATTGGTAATCTGAGAGAAGCTGATAAAACTTGGCGTCGCGAGTCACAAACACTCTTTACATTATAGTTTTGTCTCCTAACTGGTATTAAGTGAACGTATCTAGTTAAAGTTAGGTTAGGGTTAGGTTAGGGTTAGGTTAGGGTTAGGTTAGGGTTAGGTTAGGGTTAGGTTAGGGTTAGGTTAGGGGTTGGGTTAGGTTAGGTTGGGTTGGGGTTAGGTTGGAGTTAGGTTGAAAGGGTTTGCAGTTAGGGTTAGGTTAGGGTTAGGTTAGGGTTAGGTTAGGGTTAGGTTAGGGTTAGGTTAGGGTTCAGTTCGGGTTTAAGTCACGGGTTCGACAGATAGATACACAAGGACTAGGTAGCTTAAACCTTAAGGGACGAACACATCAAGGGTTTAATGTCTCGCTGGCTAGAGATTAAACCCTTGTATTACAGCTGCCTCTCCACCATCTCTTATCGACTTGTTCTGGACGCTGGAGGAAACACTCATGAAAGATGACATCTGGTGGAGGAAGAGCGAACCTTGTGAGTGGGAAGTGTGAGGTGAAAATCGTTGAAGGTAACTGTTGAGTAAGGAGGACTGACTGTTGAGGGCTGACTGGTGAGGGCTGAATGATAAGGATTGACTGTTGAGGGCTGACTGGTGAGGGCTGAATGATGAGGACTGACTGTTGAGGGCTGAATGTTGAGGGCTGAATGATGAGGACTGACTGTTGAGGTTTGACTGATGAAGATATTAATGGCTGACTGTTGAGGGTTAACTGATGATGGCTGATTGTTAAGGACGGACTACTAAGGGCTGACCGAGGACTGACTACTAAGGGCTGACTGAGGACTGACTACTAAGGGCTGACTGATGTGAATAATATAAGAAGCAAATGGAGAAGATAAGAATAAAAGAAGAACGAGATAAAGATAACGAGGAAGAATGTGACAAAGAAGAGTAAAAGATATTGAAAGATTCCTCAGGTAAATCTAACACAGAGAGCAAGATGATATAACAAAGGTACTCAAACTATCCAACCAGGAGCGAACTCGTAGCAATGGTTTTAAATTAGACACATTTAGATTTAGGCGAGAGATAAGTAAACACTGGTTTGGAAATAAAGTAGTGGATGAGTGGAACCAGTTACCAAACATCATCACTAACTTGAACACGCTGGATAGCTTCAAACATAGGTTGGATGGATATATGAGCGATAGGGGTTGGGTGTAAATGGGACTGCTGCAGTTTCCTCCCTTCTTATGTACTTAGTGAAGCTCAATCATATAATATTAGAGCATCAGAATTTTACTGGAAAAGATGGCCAAAAATCTGTCTCGCAAAAAATCTCTGGCTAACAAAAGTCTAGCCCCCCCACCACCCCACCAAACAAACCACTGTACCAAAGTCTGCAGTTCTCACATGTAATCTTAACATATGCATAGAATTACAGGCTACAAGAGCAGTTACAAAAGATGTGAATGGATTTTTGGTCCGTCTCTGTCTCTGAACGAATTAGCAGTACGTACCACAAATATCTGTAATAATGGCAAATATGGAAAATAATAAAGACAATTACAGAAATACATTGAAAAGAAATAAAAGATTTTATTAATGTGATTCATCTCTCAGGAGGCTCTAGTTATGTGAGTGAACCTTGATAATGTATTGTGGCAGAATGATAGAAGAGGTACTGGGATTGTTCAGGTAACTCACGCTGAATGAAGGTCAGTGGATACTTTTGCACCTATGAGAAACTTCTTTGACAAATTTATTCATAATTATACGTCTAGTTGCCTTCAGAGATATACATTTGCTCCCCCAAAAAAGTATCTTTACGATTTTGTGTGAGACAATATGACACTTGGCGAAAGGTTCTGGACTAAAAATATTTGTTGTATCACGCTAAAATGTTTTTTTTTGTGTGTGTTTAATATGGAAGTCTACCTGGGGAGCCAACCACCTGGCTCTTTTGTGGTGAATAATTGAGCAGCAGCGGTGGTAAAGCGGATGCTTGGTTCTTCAAATGAAAAGATCTGGAAGACATGTTACCCTGGATGTGGCACTACAGTCGACCACATGAAGACTTATAAATTTTGTCGCGAGTCGCCGTCTTAAGGAAGACCAAGACAGAACTACTGGAGGATCAACGAGTTAAGGCTTAAACCGTCATCCTAAAAGAGTTAAAGAGTTGTAACATAAACCGTCATTCTAAAAGAGTTAAAGAGTTGTAGCTTAAGCCATCATCCTCAAAGAGTAGTAGCTTAAACTATCATTTTCAATGAGTCAGAGAGTTGTAAGTTAAACCATCGTCCTCAATGGGATTATGAGTTGTAGCTTAAACCATCAACCTTAAAGTCTTCGAGTTGTAGCTTAAGCCATCATTCTTAAAGGCTTATGTGAGGGGAGAGGGGGAAGTTTTAAGCGTTGGTTGTACATCAGTGAGTTCCTTGAAGGAGAAGAGTTGGAACATTTAGCAACGGAACTTTAGTATTTTACGTCAAGATGATGTCACACACACACACACACACACACACACACATTTTAAACTCTTGAAATTGTAAATAAAACAAATACACGGTAAATTAAACGTCACTCATGGCGGGATATTGAACGGAAACAAACCTTACTGTGTCCCAACGCCCACTACCTAAGTCACCCCTTAAAAATATGGTTTTCTTTGACCTTAACGTTGTACAAAATTTATTAACGTTCATTATTGTATTGTTGTCTAATTTACTGAGCTACGAAAATAATAAGGAATTTTGAACACTAGACAGTAACAGACGGCAATGAAAAAAACAGATAGACAGATAAATGAAATAGTGTAGGAGTGAATAATATCCGATTTCCTCACGTTATCAAAAGTACAACAATATTACTAATGACAATAATCTAACTTGTGTTTATATTTATCAAGATTTAGAAAGACAGATAGACAGACAGACAGACAGACAGAAAGAAAGAAAAAAGAAAGACAGACAGACAGACAGACAGACAGACAGAATCACACCCTTGATACTATGACCCAAATCTACTATAAGCATCACCATTTTCTTGTCCATAAATCTTTAATAATGGAAGGAAAGGTTAAGTGTTTGTGACATAAAACGACAAACAAAAAATTCCCCTCAGAAAACAGATATCAGGTTGGGCTATCATGTTGGACCACTGCCCACGGGTGAGTTGGCTGGGTGGGTGGCTACCTTCCTGCCTGCCTCTGTCCTGCCGCCCCTAGTTTCTCTTCCTTCTCCCTCCTTCTCCTCCCTTATCTCACCTACTCAGCTGTTCTCTTTAGCCACATTAACACACCTTCTGACCTCGTTTCAACACACACGGGACATATTTAGTCATAATTCATAATCCTCTGTATATTATTTTTTAACTCAAGGCATCACGTTCTTTACCAAAATGACGGGAAAATGTTGAGAAATGTTATATGATTTAAGTTTATATTTCGTTCTGCAGTTGTTGTTTTTTTCCTGTACAGTATCTGGTTTAATGTTTATTTATGTCTAGGCTATGGCGCTATTTTTTATGTATTTATGGACAAATAAAAAAAAAAGGACAAAATCACATTAAAAGTTAAGGCGGGAAGCTATGATGGCGCTGCGTCATGGCGTTCACTCAACCTATTTTACTCTATTTGAATAAGTTATTTGAATGGGAATGTTTTCGTTCTATGTATCATTCATGCCGACCAGTTGAAAGATACATATCAAAATGTTTTGGATATTTCATGTATAAATTTTAGAAGATATTCATGGAGGTTTTAATGCATATATGAATGTTCGTTTACCGTGGCATAAATATTACAAAATATGGGGAGAAGTACCACTCGACGGTATATATCTCTACGGCCGGACCCATATGTAGCTTATTTCCGGGTGGTGTTGAGCTGTGTGACCCGGGATATGGAACTATACTGTTAGACTAAGCTACACAACAACTCCCTCACTAGTGACCTGCCGCTGATGGCCATGCACAAAGACGAGTACCTGTGTTAGTTCGTGTTTGCAGTGACAATATGAAGAGCTCGGAATTTATGACAATTCGCTACTACTACTAATTATATATACAGACAGACGAGTGTACTCACCAATAGGGCCGTTCTCCTGCACTTCCCCGTACATGGTGGCGTTGGGGAAGACGGGAGGGTTATCGTTGATGTCCTTCACCAGCACCGTGACCATCGTCTCCGACACGTGTACTCGCGACCCTCCCAGACCGTTTAAGCTGCCACCACCCAGGCGACGCCCCGATGGCTGAGTTTTGTTGCTGCTTGCAGAGTCCTGACCCTCGTCACAGCCGCTGTCCGCACTGAAGCTGCCCAGCTGGTAGTGCTCCTCCTCCGCTGCTCTCCTGCCTCTCGAGGTGACCAGGGAGGGTTGAGGGTCCAGAACAGTAGAAAATGACTTCTTCATCTTATCGCTCCTGGGCTGATCAGGTAAAATTGCCACATTGTTACGTGTGAAATACTCGAAGCGTCTGTCTTCATTATTGCTGTTAGCCCTGACAGTCGGGTCTGGGTCACTTGTTTGAAGTGTTGACGTTTGGTACCTGGATAATATATCTTTCTCGTGATCAGAGAACTTGGCGGCGTCTGGCGTTTTAACTCCCTTTTGTGATGGAGGAAACAAACGACTTGGGCTTTGTGCTGACTCTGGGCCTGGACCACTGAGTTCATTATATGGATTAAAAAATAGTGGATACCCCATGGCTACAGAGTCATTGTTCCCTCGACGGCTGACGTGTGAAGGACCATTTATGACCCTCTTAGTGGAGTCTATCTTGAGGTCAGAGTTAATGTCATAAGTTTGTTTGTCAGGAGACTTGAGGAGTCCTCGGGTCGGTCTGGACAGTGAGACAGTGTCCTTGTGACCACCTGAAATGGAATCTCTCTCTTTTATTTTAGTTATAACCTTTGTATTATCTTTTCTGTGTCTAGATTCCGATTGTTCGAAATTGTCATCATCATCACGTATCATTCTTTGGTGTTCAGTCTCCTCTTCTTCCATGATTCCAAGTTTATCTTCGGTGTTCCTTGTATTTCTAGCGTTACCTCTCACTGTCCCGGGTTTGTGTTCACTGTTCACCCAGGCTTCATACTTGTCACCTGGGATATAACCATCTCTTGCTTCTGTTGTCTTGTCCATTGACAGTTTTACTCCAACATTTCTAAGTCCATTGATCCCTGAGGCGGAGGCAGCTAAAGGATATTCCTGAGCATCTTCTCTTACCAAGCCTCTTTTATCGGATTTACCCCTGCGATAACCTCGTTTTCTTTCAATATTACTCACAGTTCCGTTTTCTTCTAACGTAACAAAAGACTCCGCAGGGATATTTTCATTTTGTGAATTTCTTGTATTAGATTTATTACTCTCGCTTCTTCGTCTTCTGTTTACTTTAGCGCTATGGCCCTTGTTCTTCTTCTTGGAGTTGGAGGCCAGAAGACGATCCATGGCCTGGCGACTCCATAGTGCCTGACCGTCCCTCACCTGCACCCTCACCTTCCACACCTTCATCCCCCTGGGCGGGTCACGGTCCAGCGCCTGTAAGAGAGAATATTGTTATTGAGATTGTGGTGGCGTGGGTGATTGTGGTGTGGGAGCGTGGGTGATTGTTGTGTGGGGGCGTGGGTGATTGTGGTGTGGTGGTGTGGATGATTGTGGTGTAGTGGTGTGGGTGATTGTGGTGTGGTGGCGTGGGTGATTGTGGTAGTGTGGGTAATTGCTGTGTGGGGGCGTGGGTGATTGTGGCGTGGTGGTGTGGGTGATTGTGGTGTGGAAGCATGATCATTGTGGCATGGATGGTGGGTGATTGTGGCGTGGAGGCATTGGTGCTTGTGGCATTGGTGCTTGTGGCATGGAGGCATGGGTGATTGTGGCGTGGAAGCATGGGTGATTGTGGCGTGGAAGCATGGGTGATTGTGGCGTGAAAGCATGGGTGATTGTGATGTAGAATCATGGGTGACTTTGGCGTGGAAGCATGGGTGACTATGGCGTGGGGGCATGGGTGACTGTGGCGTGGGTGACTGTGGCGTGGAAGCATGGGTGATTGTGGCGTGAAAGCATGGGTGATTGTGGCGTGAAAGCATGGGTGATTGTGGCGTGGAAGCATGGATGATTGCGGTGTAGAAGCATGGGTGACTATGGCGTGGGGGCATGGGTGACTATGGAGTGGGGGCATGGGTGATTGTGGCGTGGAAGCATGGGTGATTGTGGCGTAGAAGCATGGATGATAATGATGATTACGTGGTGAGGAGGCATAGATGATTGTGGCGTGGTGGCATGGGTGATTGTGATGTGGAGACACACACACACACACACACACTACATCCTTGACCACCGAAGGGTCAAGACGTACCTGGCGCTCCTCTCGGAGCAGCCAGGTCAACTGTTAAGTTGGCCCATACCAACCCCCTCCCCTGAACCCTCCTCCCCACCGGAATATCAACAAGTTCTCGCCAGAGGTTACAATTTCATTTAGGAAAGGAACGGAACCAGTGTTAAACAGAGGTGAACAGAGGTGAACAGTGCTTAAGTCAGTGAGAACAACTCAACAGTAACAGTCGTACCCAAGTTAACCTTCACACAGTGAGGTCCCAGGTACCCAGTGATAACGGCCCGTGAGACCCAACAACAACCAGCGATGTGTTAATCCGTCTACGATAGGAAGGACTGGGACCACACCTCACTCATATAACACCATCTGTGAGGGAATTACTATACCACGTCAGGTCCCTCATAACACCATATGTGAGGGAGTTACTACACCACGTGAGGCCCCTCATAACACCATCTGGGAGGGAGTTACTACACTACATGTTTGCTGTTCAGCACCTACATTAATCTGTATGTTCACTGTATGTTCCTTTACCTTTCTCTAATGAAGGCTTTTGTAAAACCACCAATGTATGTAACAAGTCATTTATGTCCAATGTATATTTTCAGCCTTCGGGCTGCAAACTTTTTTTAATAAACCGTTAATTATTATTATTATTATTATTATTATTATTATTATTATTATTATTATTATTATTATTATCATTATTATTATTATTACTATTATTATAACAGTATTCCCAAACGCACATACCAAGCCATCCACACATAAAATTCATCACCTCTATATGAAACATCCACTTTGACTTCTTAATTACCACACACTCAATAAACATCTTCACTACCACCCAGAGATCACCGACACCTGAGACCCGAAGGTAAATATTTCATTAGTTCATGTCGAGGAGCTCTGACTGCGGAGAGATGAGTCAGCTTGCTTTAACCCCTCCTGGAGAGCTTGACCAATAAGAGCTTAGCTTATGAGAATTTAGCCAATAAGAAGTTTGTCCAATAAAAATTTAGCCAATAGGAAACTTACGTAGCTACTGAGAATCTTGTTATTGAGAAGTTGATTCCCTGTTATTTTTGGGGGTGCTATATTAGATTATATCCATTAGTTTCCATTATTAAAGTACTACAAGGTTTCTAATGGGGGTATTATGTTGATCTCTATTAGCCCTTAATATTATTGTACCCATTAGATTATCGGAATATTAGTGTGGTTCCATTAACTTTTCTTACGGGTACATTATATAGTTTCCATTATATCCATTAACTTCAATATTATAACTTCCCATTACATTTCTAATGGGGATAATTCTTCAAGATTTATTAGAATTTATCACATATTAATAACGTCCCCATTAACCCTGCAAAATCAGCATACTATTAGATTCCCATTAGCCATTCAAAGTCAGGATATTACTGTCCCCATTAACATTGAGTCAAGATATCAATAGGCTCCCATTCTCACATCTAATGGGGGGGGGACAACAGAGCCCCATTAGTCATTATTGCAAATTTCCGGCACACCTGAGAGAGAGAGAGAGAGAGAGAGAGAGAGAGAGAGAGAGAGAGAGAGAGAGAGACGCATACCTTCCCCATCTATAAACATGATAAATTCCTGCCGATATAATCTCATTCTTGTTCCTGTAGAAATGAGAGATATCCTGCCTCATTATACCACCAATAAATCATATCTCGCCTATAACTATCCTGATGCTGGAGAATTGTGTTATATATCCTGAGTTAACATGATAGGTTCAGTGGTGAGGATGATAATGGTGACGTACAAGGTGTGTAAGATCCTGGTGTAATTTAACATGATACGGTGTCTTATGAGGATGATAATGATGCAACAGGAACATTGACGTAGATACAAGTAACAGTGACATAGATACAAGTAACAGTGACGTAGGTACCAGTAACAGTGACGTAGATACCAGTAACAGTGACGTAGGTACCAGTAACAGTGACGTACCTTGAGCTGGATGAGTTCCCCGGTAAGAGAGTTGATGGAGAAGAAAGCGTCGGTGGGGTGGAAGCCGTCAACACCATCCCCCCTCACCGTGTACAGCAGCCCGTGGTGGTCCAGCCAGTCTGCGTCAGTCGCCTCCACCTGTACACCACGACACAACCATTACTGCCATTATTACCATTACTATAACACAACCATTGTAATCACACAACCATTACTACCACACAACCATTACTATCACTTTTTTGTAAGCCTGTACGGTCTAATTACATTGTATACCTGTATTGTCTAATTACATTGTATACCTGTACTGTCTATGGGTAATGTATACCTGTACTTTTCAATTTACAGCTAAATTAAGGTGTACTTGCTTGACAAGTTTACTTTTTTTTTCTCTCTCTCTCTCCATTCTCTCTCACTCTCTCTCTCTCTCTCTCACTATTCTCTCTCACTATCTCTCTCTCTCTCCATTCTCTCACTCTATTCTCTCTCTCTCTCACACTCTCTCTCTCTCTCTCTATTCTTTCTCTCTCTCTCTCTCTCTCTCTCTCTCTCTCTCTCTCTCTCTCTCTCTCTCTCTCTCTCTCTCTCTCTCTCTCTCTCTCTCTCTCTCTCTCTCTCTCTTCACAGCATGCCTTTACATTATTTTTTATTTACTATGACTGTTTCTATAAAAGTAAGTCAATCTAGTTTATCATTCCCCTTTCTCTCTTCCTTCCTTCCCCCCCCCCCTCTGTCTGGTTTCTCTGTCTTGATTTTTTTTATTTCTGTCTGTCTGTCTGTCTCTTTCTATCTCTGTCTTTCTATCCCCCTCTGTTTGTTTCTCTCTGTCTATTACTGTTCTCTCTCCGTCTCTCCCTTCTCCCCACTACTCTCTCAGGGGAGGTCATTAACACACATACATTGCCACACTATTTAATCCATAATGTTCTCTGTATGACAAGTTTATAAGCTATCACTTGAAGATTAGCTTACTCCCAGCTTTGTTCACCTTAACATTTACCTAACCTAACCTAACCTAAAAAATACTACTACTACTACTACTAATAATAATAATAATATCACAATAATAATAATAATAATAATAATAATAATAATAATAATAATAATAATAATAATAATAATAATAATAATAATAATAATAATAATAATAATAATAATAACATCATCACAACATCAACAGGTAAGGCCATTTAATGAAACTCAGGTAAATCCTAAATTCTTAGAGATTCTTACGACAAAAATGTTACCTTTAAATGAATACGATAGGAATAACACGTAATTCCTCCTCTCATTAAAGTAGCGACTCAGAGCTGACAGGGAACATGGCGGCTGTATTACTCAGAGACTCATCCTAGGTAAAAATTTCTTATAATGGAAAAGTTAACGTTAGGTTCAGTTCCCAGTTCTAATATGGTGACTGTTAACTGGTAGATTGGTGTGTGGGTAGATTGACTGGTGGTTGGGTGAGTGACTGGTGGTTGGGTAGATTGACTGGTGGTTGGATAGATTGACTGATGATTGGATAGATTGACTGATGATTGGATAGATTGACTGATGATTGGATAGATTGACTAATGATTGGATAGATTGACTGGTGATTGGATAGGTTAGGTTAGGTTAGGTTAGAGCCGATTTGACCTGCAGATAACTTGAGTCATCTTATGGAGTGTGTGGGGTGATGAGGGTGTGGTAGGAGAGAGAGAGAGAGAGAGAGAGAGAGAGAGAGAGAGAGAGAGAGAGAGAGAGATTCACTACTCATAACTCAAGAGGTCACCTTTACTCGGGATAGTAGAATTGCCGCAGTCAACAACACTTTAACCTTCCACACGTGCCGATAAAATTCACATTCTTTCTCTTTACATTTCACCTAACCTCACCCTAACCTAACCTAACCCAACCCAACCCAACCCAACCCAACCTAACCCAACCCAACCTAACCCAACCCAACCTAACCTAACCACTCACCTCTGACGTATTTATACTGTTATTCTTTCAACTATATATTGTCATCGTGTTCCGGTTTACAGTACTTATTGTGGACGGTTTACTGTCGTGTCACATAAAAGGTCTCGGTTTGTTTTTTTTAAGCTGATTTGATGGAATGGAATTGTTTTTTTGTTATATTTTTTTTATATATATATTTATTTATTTTTCCTCAATTGCCTTACTGTCATGATAGTTAAATGGTTGATGTGATGATGAAACTATGGTAGGGATTGATTTATGGTAAATATATCAATAATAACAACTAACGTCACTAATAAAAAATATGACATCACTACTAACAACAACACCACTAACAAAAACAACAAATAACAACAATAATAAAACACTAACAACACCACTAACAACACCTCCACAACCACCACCACCACTACTACTAACAAAAAAAAAAGAACAGCAACACTAACAACAACAAGAACAAAACTAACAAGAAAATAGCTACACACTAAAACTGGTCCTAAATATACAGAATATTAAATACACACATACACACCCTTTGTATAATGTAACCAAAACCATTTCTGTCACTCGACGTATATATCCAGAAATCATACACTTTCCCGCTTGTATTTCTAACACTCAGAACGCCTCGCCTCGCCTCGCCTCGCCTCGCCTCTCCCTGCCCCGCCCCGCCCCGCCCCATTAGTGTTGTGTACACCTCCCTCACTATTATATTCACTTGTGTTGCTGACAACCCAAATACGTCACACTGGAAAGGGTTTTATACTGAAGGAGTCCTGAATTAAATGGCGAGTGACAGAAATATTTTATTCCTTTATCACCACGTGTGTTGAGGTTAGGTTAGGTTAGGTTAGGTTAGAGTTAGGTTCCGAGTTAGATTCCGAGTTAGATTTCGAGTTCGAGTAGGTTAGGTTAGGTTAGGTTAGGTTAGGTTCGAGTTAACGTAAGAACCTAAGAACATAAGAATGGAGAAAACTGCAGCTGGCCTATTGACGCCATACTGGGCAGTCCCATTTACACCCAACCCCTATTGCTCATATATCCATCCAACCTATGTTTGAAGCTATCAAGCGTATTCGAGTTAATGATGATGTTTGGTAACTTGTTCCACTCGTCCACTACTCTGTTTCCAAACCAATGTTTACCTATTTCGCGCCTAAATCTAAATTTGTCTAATTTAAACCATTGTTACGAGTTCGCTGCTGGTTGGATAGTTTGAATACCTTTGTCATGTCACCTTTGTTTAGCCCTGATTTCCATTTATACACCTCTATCATATCGCCCCTAACTCTACGTCTCTCGAGGGAGTGCAAATTAAGATGCTTTAACCTGACTTTATACTCAAGGTTCCTAATGCCCGGGATTAGTCTTGTCATTCTCCTCTGAATTCTTTCCAAGGATTCTATATCCATTCTGTAGTGCGGTGACCAGAACTGAACAGCGTAATCCAAGTGAGGTCTCACAAGCACAAGATATAGTTTTTGGATAACCTCGCTAGACTTGTAATTAACACTCTTTTGTATGAGCCCAAGTACGTTAATAGCCTTGTTTCGAGCAAATACACATTGTTTACTTGGCTTAAGATTCCTACTTTTCATTACTCCTAAATCTCTCTCGCCGTCGGATTTCTCAATAACATCGTTGTTCATCTGGTATCTGGTTTCCCTGTTTATATCTCCTATACTGAGTACTTTACATTTGTCCACATTGAATTTCATCTGCCATTTTTCAGACCATTCGAAAAATTTGTTTAGATCTTCCTGTAGTTTTGCAGAGTCCTCGTCAGATTTAATCACACGCACTATTTTAGTGTCATCAGCAAATTTACTTATGTTGCTGTCTACGTCGATATCTATGTAGTTTATGTATATAATAAATAATAATGGTCCAAGTACTGAGCCTTGGGGAACTTCACTAGTGACGTTGCTCCAATCTGATTTAGTGCCGTTAATGCTCACTCGCTGTTTCCTGTCCTGTAACCACGCCTCAATCCATTTTAGAATATCTCCTTTAATGCCATGAGCCTCCACTTTTCTTATTAGTCTTTCGTGGGGGACTCTGTCGAAGGCTTTGCTAAAGTCGAGATATACCACATCATAATTGTGCCCTTCGTCCACTGATTCGAAAACTGATGGAAAAAATGTTAATAGATTAGTTAGACAAGAACGCCCGCTCGTGAAGCCATGTTGGGAATCATTGATCAACTTGTGCTTCTCCGGGTGATTTCGATGAGAGTTTGAAATGATTGCTTCCAGTAATTTGCCTACAATTGATGTTAGACTGATTGGACAATAGTTAGAGAATTGTGATCTATCTCCCATCTTGAAAATCGGTATTACATTCGCTATCCTCCAGGATTCTGGTACTACACCTGCTTTTAAGGACATGTTAAACAACTTTGCTAAGGGCATACTAAGCTCTTCCTTACATTCCTTTAATACTCTGGCAAATATCTCATAGGGACCTGGTGACTTATTAGGCTTTAGTTTGTCTATTTACTTATAACATCATTACTAGTCACTACTATCTCGCTTAATCTACTTCTTCACTATCTCTGTATAGAGTCGGTGCCTCGGGTATCATGTTTAAAATTTCGGTGGTGAAAACTGTTGAAAAATATTTATACAGATTATTGTTCATTTTTCCGTTGTTATCAGTTAGCTCGCCGGTATCTGACTGTATTGATCCAATCTTTTCTCGTGTTTTAGTTTTATACATTTAATAGAATCCCTTGGGGTTTGACTTCGCCTCCCTTGCTACCTTCAGTTCATTATTCGTCTTTGCTTTTCTTATCTCGGCCTTAACCCTACCGGCCAATACCTTATAATAATCTCGGAGGTAAACTTCACCACTATTTATCCTTCTACCTATAGCCTTCCTTTGTCCAATAATGTTCTTTAAATAATTATTTGTCCATTTAGGGTCAGTTCTTTGATCTGAGTTTTCTGTATGGTATATTCTGCCTTTGTGCATAAAGTAACTCATTATTTAAATTGTTGTGGAACTCGTCAACCTCAGATCTCGTGATCATGTCATCCTCGACCGTCAGGTCTCCAGGTAAGGTAAGGTAAGGTCGCCCTCTGTGGGTACACTGTGTGAGGTCACCTCATGTGAGGTAATGTAATTCGCCCCCAAGCGTGATACCCCTTCTCTCAGCTGCCTCTTCAAACTATCAAAGTTTGCCCTTCTGAAATCTGGGACTTTAGTGGAATTTTCCTTGCGGATGCCCTGAAATTCTTATTGGAATCTTATTTCTTTGTGATCGCTGTTAGCAAGTTCGTTCCCTACCTCGACATTACTAACGAAGTTTTCTCTGTTTGACAGAACTAAATCGAGTATTTTATTACCCTGGGTGGGTTCGGTTATATGTTGACTTAGGATTAAATGTTAGTTGGAGATGCAGGTTAGGTTAGGTTAGAGTTGAGTTAGGTTAGGTTACGTTAGGTTAGAATTAGGTTAGGTTATCTATAATATAAACTTGTGGTAGTCTGGTCATGGCAGAACAAATCTCTGTTCTACAGAATCATTTACTTATCTCTAAATGGAGTGTTATTGTTTTGTGAACAGGAGAACTGTTTCTATAATGTCAATTGTTATTGCCTTTCCGTGTGTGTGTGTTGCAATAGTTAGATGATGGAAATATATTTTTCGTGTATTCGTATATTTCAGTGATTTAACCCCTTGAATACAATGATTTAATCCCTTGAGTACGATGACTTAACCCCTTGAGTACGATGACTTAACCCCTTTGAGTATGATGATTTAACCCCTTCAGTACGATGGCTTAACCCCTTGAGTAAGATAACTTAACCCCCTGAATACGATGACAACCCCTTAAGTATACTGACTACGATAACTTAACCCCTTTGACTACAATAACTTAACTCCTTCAGTACGATACTTCAATGTAAACACTAACTTTCCGTTTTCTCTCTCAAATAACACCAAGAACTAACAAACTATCCCAACTGATAACTAATACCTCGAACTGATTAGAATTACTCTCCATGTGATTTAGCTAAACACTACTCACCTCACACACTGGAGAAAAAAAAACCCCACATTTAAACTTATTGAATGATTAATAGTCTATATAACTATCTTTCCCGTCTCTGTTTTTGTGTGGGGTGTATTAAGCAGTACAGAAACCTCAGAGGCAATGATGGTGAAAGTAACGCATAACTATATAAAAAAGAGAAAGAAAAGTGCTCTGACAACACGGTGAAAATATCCAACACATACTCACTCACATCCTCAACTTCCGTAAACACTAAACGTAATAAAAAAAAATCTATATAAATTCTTCAACAACCACAAAGGTAATTTATCTAATGTAATATCAAAAGATGTTCCAAAATAACTAACACATAAATAAAAACCCCAATTGATGTATGGTAATAAATAACTATAGACTCTTGAATATCCCTCATTTAAGACATCGTTTATAGGGGGCGCTGCGACAGTCATTTGTTTTAGAAGCATCGCCGACCATATAACTCGAACCTTATAATCTCTTTCATTAAACGTATTGTCTCCAAGAACTATCGCGTGATAGGGGGTTCGGGCAAAGGCTTCCAGACCCTGGTTTTCACGCGGATATTAAATGGTGGAAATTTCCCGAGATTTAGTGGCTGTGGTAGCGGCCAATTTCTCACGGGTGGCGGTCGTTAGCGCCTTCACGGGGGGGCCGCTGAGGGGAGGGCATCATGACTCCTTCTGACGCGGCCGTAATGTTGGGGTTTGTTAGATCATGAGAGGGTCTTGAGAGGGGAAGGAGGGGTGATCGAGAGGGGAAGGAGGGGTGATCGAGAGAGAGAGAGAGAGATAACACTAACCTAATCTAACCTAAACACTGTCGTATCTTGTCGTACTTGTCCACACGACCACCATGCTACTACCATCAACACTACTACTACATATTCTTGGCCTCCAGCCTCCCCCAATAGCCACACCTTCGCCGCCATTTTATTACCTTAAGATTAAATATCCTAATACATAAGTAGCTATCCTAGCTGTGTTAAGTTAGTTGAGCCGCAGATCTATGAGGCATTCAGTGACTGTTGCCTCATAGTCAATATCTGCAGCTGTTGTCGGCTTTGGGGCCGATGCTCTCGTTCCCCTGAGGCAGAGCAAAGCCGACCTTAGGAGAGAGAAAGACAGTCGACATCTCATCCAGGCTGTAACATAACTTCTGGGCTGCTGCTTCTGTTCGGAGATCACCTCCGCGAGTCTGGCGTAGAAGCATCTTGCACTTGGGCCCATCCCACCAGAGGTTGTGAACACTAGAGTGAAGCTGCCTTGATCAACGTTCTGAATTCTCTCCTCGTATGCCCTTATCTTGTCGTTCTCGTTCCTCCTGTGTGCAGCATCGAGAGCTAAGTTATGGTGACATGCAGCCCTGGGATAAAAAATCCTGATGTCGAAGAAGGCTCGCTGTCCCCGCGTCCAGAATCCTCGAGCACTGACGTCAACACGGGCGTCGTTGGATGTGTTTGAAGTCATATGTTGGAAATTCTCACCGTCCAATGGAAGGAGGGTCGGTTCTACCCTGACATCACGGCAGATTTCCTTCAAAATATTTGCTGTGAGATACCTTACTTCGTCATGCCTCATGCATATGAAGCCCCCTTTCTTGCACACCATGGAGAGATCGACGTCATAGGAAGAGCCACACACGCATTGGAAGGGCAGACTTTCTACTGGCCTACCGTACCTTAGAGCATTGGCATCTGTAAAGTCCTGTTTATTGAGACTGAAACCATTTGCCCTTATCGGTAACGTAGTTAACCAGTTCGAGGCGCCGACCTCCAGCGCTATAGCTATTTTTTTTTTCAAATTCTCTGGTACTTGCAGCAACAGTTGCTGCAACTTATCACTTTGGCCGTGCTGTCGTTCTGTCGTAATGGACCTTCGAGTCTTGTTTACTTCACTGGTATCCACCTCCCCCTTGCTGCGTTCTGAGCTATTATGTGGTCCGTGAGGGCTGGCATGAGCTTAACTGAGTTTTGATGTTCGGTGGCTGCAATCTCCTCTGGATTGATCAATCCCATTCCTCCCAGTCTCGGTGGTAGTGCAAGGAGTGATCTTTCTGCTGGGGTTAAGTCTGGGTGTTTCACTAATTTGGGAATGAAATTGACGCTGATAGCTTCTTCCAGAGGGTGGAGGAGGGGTCCGATATCAGGGATAGTGCGCATCAGGTAGTTCCAGCGATACTTGACTCCATGGGTGAATGCCGCAAAAGCCGCATGTGGCTCTGTGTTAGCAATCTCAGACAGAGCTTAGATTTCCCTAAGCCACTCATTCACCTTCCCCATTACTTACTCGGTCTTGAAGCCCGTCGTGCCGATTACTGCGCCTAGGTGTCTTTGGCCATCCTTTGTTATTTTGACCTCACTTCCACCGAACACCTCCATTGCCCGTTCATAATATTCTGGTTTCACAATGAGGAAGGACTTGCTGGCATTTGGGTGGTACCTTATTTGTGGACCTCATGATGTTCTCAGGTCCCACCACTTTTTGATGTCCTCCACTTTTCCTGCTCCTGTAAGGTCGTCAGCGTACGCTACTTGCTTGACCTCAGTTGTTTCAAATTTTATTGTGTGTTGGAGCACGGATAGGCCTATTGCGTACATTGCCATTGCAACAGGGTCCCCCTGCGTTGTTCCCTCGGTTGACTGTATGATGGTATCACCTCTTAGAGCCTTGACTACTATTACCACTACTACAATAACTACTACAACAACTATTACTACTACTACCATTACTATAACAACTACTAACCGTGGCGATGGTAGCTGGTAGGTGACGGTCGTCCTCCTCCACGACAGTCACTTGAGGTTTAGGGTTCAGAAAGTATGGCGCGTTGTCGTTGACGTCGAGGACTGTCACCTGTACCATGGTGTGTGCCGCCTGGCCCTCCCCCTCTGCCGCCACCACTAACTCGTGCTGAGACACACACACGCGGGGGAGAGAAGAATAGTGTGTTTTTATATCAAGTATAACATGAACTGCAACAACTGTATGCTAACTCAAACGCTCTAGCTTAGAATGATTTACTAAAAAGAGAAAACGTAAATATTAAAGGGAGAACTATTAAAAATCCAGAATAATATGATTGTTTGGCCTTTATCTACAAATCTCTGTGATATGTGAGGTAAAGTGAACCTGATTGACGTTTGAGGTTGATTGAAATATGTTTCTGGTTTAGATGGTTTAAATGAACTGTTCCATTTATGCTACGCTATTCTTTTCTTTGACACTAAAAATAGAATTAACCATCAGAGGCGTGAGAGAGGAAGTCATAACTAACCTGTCAGAACTTTTTGTGGCTGTTGATATCAAACAACATGAACCGATCTAAACACAAACTATTTCTACGTGTTTACAAGTGGGTGAAGGCAAGTTTCCGCGAGCAGCCGACGGGGGAAGAGAGGAAGTGTTTCTCGTGAAGGCTGGCTGACACACTCCTCAACAAACATAGAACACTTTCCACACAATACACGGAACAACAACTCACAATAGAGGGTCTGTAATGCTTTCATCCGGCCGACAGAACATCCATTTGAGGTACTGAATATATGGCCAGAGTGTCTTAAGTCCTTCACCATTAAGGAGTATTGTTGCTTTATTCTGCTAAGAGCTGTCACTCAATGGGTTAAAACCTATCTCGCTTCAACCATGACACATAAAGGTCAGGGCGTCACAGCGTCACGGTGTCACAGCGTCAGGGCGTCACAGCGTCACAACGTTAGGGTGTCACAGCGCCACAGCGTCATAGTGTCAGGACGTCACAGTGTCAGGACGTCACATACCTTGTCGTGAGCTTCAAAGTCGAGGGCGGCCGCCAGGGTGATGACTCCCGAGTGTTGGTCGATGGTGAAGAGCCCGTCCTTGTTGCCTCCCGTGATGCTGTACCTTACTGCTGTACCTGTAGAAGGGGACACAAGTTACAACAGCTGTGATGGTGTACCTTACTGCTGTACCTGTAGAAGGGGACACAAGTTACAGCAGCTGTGATGGTGTACCTTACTGCTGTACCTGTAGAAGGAGAGACAAGTTACAGCAGCTGTGATGCTGTACCTTACTGCTGTACCTGTAGGAGACACGTTACAGCAGCTGTGATGGTGTACCTTACTGCTGTACCTGTAGGAGACACAAGTTACAGCAGCTGTGATGGTGTACCTTACTGCTGTACCTGTAAAGGAGACACAAGTTACAGCAGCTGTGATGGTGTGCCTTTACTGCTGTACTGTAGGGGGACACAAGTTACAGCAACTGTGATGGTATGCCTTACTGCTGTACCTGTAGGAGACAAGTTACAGCAGCTGTGATGGTGTACCTTACTGCTGTACCTGTAGGAGACACAAGTTACAGCAGCTGTGATGGTGTACCTTACTGCTGTACCTGTAGGAGACAAGTTACAGCAGCTGTGATGGTGTACCTTACTGCTGTACCTGTAGGAGACACAAGTTACAGCAGCTGTGATGGTGTACCTTACTGCTGTACCTGTAGAAGGAGACACGTTACAGCAGCTGTGATGGTGTACCTTACTGCTGTACCTGTAGAAGGGGACACAAGTTACAGCAGCTGTGATGCTGTACCTTACTGCTGTACCTGTAGAAGGAGACACAAGTTACAGCAGCTGTGATGCTGTACCTTACTGCTGTACCTGTAGGAGACACAAGTTACAGCAGCTGTGATGGTGTACCTTACTGCTGTACCTGTAGAAGGGGACACAAGTTACAGCAGCTGTGATGCTGTACCTTACTGCTGTACCTGTAGGAGACACGTTACAGCAGCTGTGATGCTGTACCTTACTGCTGTACCTGTAGAAGGAGACACGTTACAGCAGCTGTGATGGTGTACCTTACTGCTGTACCATTACTCTTCCCTGAGTAAACCTCCTCACGGCCACAGGTAACGAGGTACAGTAAGCATGTGATGTACTTCACTACACTACCTGTGTCATCACCACCGTATACCTGGCAGTGTAATAAATCCCAATTAGTGACTAGTAAGCTGTTGAGATGATCTTCATGAGGGCTGAACAGGTAACGACTCAACGACCAATTAAGTCGTATTGGACAGCAATAATATTCGTACAGTGTGTGAGGGAAGCTGTTGTGAAATACTGCGACGGGTGGCTGAGTGGTTGTTACCTGGGAGGAACGTCTTGATATATCTAGGTTCGAGTCTCAATAAGGAGATAAAGAAAGGGGAAAGGTTGGTAATGGTAAGGAGAGAGAGAGAGAGAGAGAGAGAGAGAGAGAGTGAGAGAGAGAGAGAGAGAGTAATGAGACGCATCAGGGATTGAATACAGGAAGGTACGGGGTTCGCCTTCTCTGTGACCACTCAAGTGTACGTGTCTGCCAGAGTGCCAGGTCAAAGGTGAATGTAGGTCAGGTCGCTTCTGCTTTGACCACCCGAGCGTGTGTTGTTAGAGATAATATTGTCTACTGGGCGTTTGAAGACCATAGAGTAAGACGCTGTTAGAAGATAGGGAAGTGGGTAGTAAAAATAATAAACTAACCTAACCTAACCTAACCTAACCTAACCTAATCCAAGACCAAGAAGGTGAGTCTCTTAAGTGATATTGTGACTCTCTTTACCATCACCTTGACAGACGGGAGAGGCAAGAAAGGGAGGGAGAGAGGGAAGATGGGGGGAGAGGAAGAGGAAAGGAAGGGGAAGAAAGACGGAAAGGAGAAGTATGGGAAGGGAACAAGGGATAGAAGGAGGCAAGAATGGAGTGTAGAAAGGAAGGAAGAAGAATGGAGGTCTGGTGCCAAAAAGCAGCAGTTCACGGTCATAGCAGGCTGGTGTGTGTGTGTGTGTGTGTGTCTGTGTGTGTGTGTGTGTGTGCGTGTGTGTGTGTGTGTGTGTGTGTGTGTGTGTGTGTGTGCGTGCGTGCGTGCGTGCGTGTGTGTGTGTGTGTGTGTGTGGTACCGCGAAGAAGTTGAGAACGAAGTATATTCAACTTTTAATGACTTTGGTAGTGAACGCACAGGCTGGCGTCTTGAGCGTGTATGTATGTATATCTTATGTACACCCCTCACCTCCCCCACACACACACATGGGAACTTACTTAAAGATATAAATAAAGTTTTCTGTAAATCCACCTCATGAAAATTGTATCCTTGGCAGTGAGTGAAGGATGGAAGGAGGGAGGGAAGGAGGGAGTGAAGGAGGGAGGGAAGGAAGGAAGGAAGGAAGGAAGGAAGGAGGGAGGGAGGGAGGGAGAGCAAGTGTGTGAGAGAGGGAGGTAGAGTGTGGGTGGGGTGTTAGTGCTAAACTCTTGATAAACTATATTAAACGAAAACACACAATAAAGGTTACACCCAGACCACCATCACCTCCCCGCCCCCTTGTGACCGTCACCACGAAGGCTTGGCTACTGCAGTCACCTTCACCGCCTCCTGCAGACACTT